CGGGGCTGCAGGACGGGGCGGGGCGGGGCAGAAGGGCAGGGCAGGACCAAAGGAAAGGGAGGGCGGGGCGAGGAGAGCGGGCGGGACGAGTCAAGAGGAGTTGGAAGGGTAGGCACGGGACGTGACCGGGGAGGCTGGCGGGGCGACAGAAAGGACAGGGCACGGGCTCCACCTGCGCTGCTGCTGTTTCTGTAGCTGCCGCCGCTCCTGACCCCGCGCTCCTTTCCTGAGGCAACTGGGAAATCGGAGAAATGTATTGAGTGACTGCTGCGTTCCTCTCAGTGTGCATGTAGATAGAATAACCAGCAAGACACGGTGCCAACCAAAGAGCTTTTAGGCTTTACAGCGGGAGACCACCAAGGACAATGACATTGGCGACAGAGACACTGGAGACCGTTCACCAGAGGAACTGTGGGGCATCTCACCAAATAAAGGAAAAGACAGAGTATTATAGCATTTGGGTGAATGGTGGGTTTAGGTGATATGAAAAGAGAAAAGAGAAGGGGAGGGGAAAATTGCTCTAGAAAGTTAACGGCGAGGGTAGCGTTGGCATCTTCTTTCTTACCCTATCATGTGTTCTTGCCCCTCCATCTGCTAACTGAGGTTACTGATCTTTCCAGATCTGGAGCCCTAAGATAGAAAAGGGAGCAGGAAAGGCTCTGTTTGATTGACACTGCTGTGAGCTGGATGTGGGTGCTCTTTGGACTTAGTAAACTGTTAAAGCTGTCTCTTGTCTTCCTGAGCAATTTTGTAAGTTCTTCAAAATACCTCTCCCCTTGCCCCCATTACTGGAGATCTTTAATCTTCAATTTCCTTGAGCGGGGCTGATGCAGCTCTATTCCAGCTGTTGCTCACTCCTTCACCAGCTGTAAGGAATCCAGGGAAACCGTAAGCATCCTCTCTGCTGATGTTCGTTCATCCTTCCAGGGTCCTCCTTGGACAGACCTAAAATAATCCTCGCTGGTTCACTTGCTTGTGGATCCACATCTGATGCATGGATGTTGCAGGTCAGGTTTCCTAGGAAGCAGACTGAGATGGAGATAACTACGCAAGATGTTTACTAGGGAGTGCTCTTTGTATCAACACCTACGGAAAGAAAGGGAAAGAAGCAAGACTGGACAGAAGGAGAAGGTGAGCTGTTCTGCAGTCTCAGTAGAAACCTCAACCAACCAACCTTACAGGAAGTTCTGAAGCTGGGACGGCACTCCTGAGTTGTCCTGAACTTGGGTAGGGAGCTGGAACTTTATGTCCCCCACTCAGGTCAGTCACTGGCTCTCTTTAGCCCTGTGGGGACTGACAGCTGAGGACTGTCTGCTGGCAGCATTTCCAGTAGCTAAGGATCAAGTCCTTCAGTCATCACGATGCCTACCACAGTAGTAAACACAGTCTTTCTCTCAGTGAGCTCTGGGAATGCAAGCCAATCCTAACTCCAAAGTGACCTTTCCTTCACATCCTCCATCAAAGTGGCTAGTCATCCCTTCTCTCACCCTTCAGATTTTCTTCAGGAGGGAGTCAGATGCCAGGCTTTTGTCTTCCACAAAGTCCAGAAGGTATGTATCAAGTTCTACTGATCATCTCCTGAGATAAAGGGAAACGTTTTCATCTTTATGGTACCGTAAGAACTTTCTACCTTTTCAAATCCTTCTGATCTCTAACAACCTATTTTTGTACCTTCAATGTGGATCAAGGGTTTAAGGATCGTCCACTAGGTTTCTGACCAACTCCTTTGAAAAATTTTGCATCTTAGTACCTCCTTTGGTACTGAGGAATGTACCTCAGCTGAGCACTTGCATAATTATGCTTGCATAATAAAGTAAAATAGCCATCACTCATTTTCTCCAACAAATAACCAAACTACATTAACTTCCCACAGCTTGTGGAATTTAGTACTCAGCTTATGAATCTCAGAATCAGTAAAGACACTTGTTAAAACTTAAGATACACTGAATTTTAATTTGAGAACAGAGCTTGCAAATTTGCATGTTTAGTTAACTACCAGGTGATATGTATGTACTCTAAGATCTCAGAAACAATGAGATAGCATAAAAATTGTGGCTAGGGATGACCTGATTCCTTGCTACTCAAAGCATGGTTCACAAACAGCGGTGGCAGCATCACCTTGAAGCTTGTGAGGAATCAGATTCCTAGATGCCATCACAGACCTACAAGATCACATTTTCACAATTTGCAGATTAAAAAGATCCCCCAGGTTATTTGAATATATATTAAAATTTGAGAAACACTGCTCTAGTCTTAAACATGGTTGCACATTATAATCACCTAGAGAACTTAAAAAAAAAATAAAGACTGCTACCTCACCCCACACCAATTAGATCAGAATCTTTAGGGGTTGGGGTCTGGCTGTCATTATCTTTTTAAAGCCCCACAGAGGATTTTAATCACTAGCCAAGGTTGAAAACCAAGGTCGTTTCATCACTGTTACTTCATTATTCCCAACATGTATGCAATCCCCTTTGGTAACCATCTTGGCATATGTTTGCATGCATCCAGATTCCTGTTTAAGCCCTTTTTCCTTCCTTCACAGTTCATCATTGAAAGAACAATAGGACCCGAGCTGACAGTTCACCGGAGAAGTTCTGCTTTATTTGAGGGTGAAGCATACATTTATAGAGAGCTGAGTTCCGGGAGAGGGTGGTTAGTACGCGGGGCGGTGGCTGATTGGTCGGAAGGGCGGGTGATGATTTTGATAGGCCATACTTTGGCACCGGCGGGAATGTTAGAACCCGGAAGAGAAGCTGGAAAGGCGCCATGTTTTAGGGAATGTCTCCTTTGGGGTTTTATGGGGCCCTACATTCCTCTCTTTTTCCTCTATTGGGGGGTAAGGTCATTGAGATCTTCGAGCTACTTCCTGCTGGAGAGGGGCGTTGAGAAGAAAAGAAGAAAAGGGGTTAGAGTTGGACATGGCCCGGAGGCTAGAGGCCAGATCGGTGAGTTTGATGATGTTAGTTTCAACTAGGCTTGATTCATCATTCCTCTTCGAGGAAGATGCATGTGCCTCCCTTTTCAGTGGTGAGAAGGTCTAGTGCTCTGTGGTTTTGGAGAGTTACCTTAGTGAGGGAGGTAACTTGTCTTTGTAGGGAGAAGAGGGACTCAGCGGTGGAGGTTAAGGCTACGCTAAGAAGGGAATTCATTTCCGTGTATGGGTGGGAGGACTGGAGGTCGGGATAGATGGAGTTTGAGGGGGTTGGCAGGATGAGGGGTGCAGGAATAGCTTTCTTGAGAGGGCTTGGTCTGGACTTCAGGCCCACTT